ATCAAGTATCAATGCTATCCCATCTGTACACAGGGTAGATAGGGACGGGCAACTTAGACATTGGCTACCTAAAATGAGGGGACAATAAAGACACCAAGTGACTGGCTTACAAGGTTTCAAAAGGGAGTTTAGTTTAAGAGTATGGGGGGAAAGAAAGAGTCCCCACTGAGTAGCTGTCATCTTGTCTAGATGTGTCTGGTGAAAAGAGATGGGGAAAAGATTTGTAAGATTCAATAGTGAATAATTGTTATCATGACTAATTGCAACTGTCACAATTGTAAAGGTAGAAGTTTTGTAACAAAAAAGGGGGAGTGGCTAATCTTACAGTTCAGAAACAGAGGACCCTAGGACCATCAAGAGAGAAGTGCACAAGCAGAATGCAGGACCTTATTCAGAGAAACAGCAGTGCTAGAGATGGAGGAAGAGATGGGGGCATTGAGAGGGGGAGTGGCTGAGGACTCTAGATTCAAGGACTAAGAAGAAAAGCACTAAGAGCTAGTGGTCAGGAGGCAGACTTGCAGAATGTGCCCTTTGGAGATGTAAATTATTATATATGCCTGAGTGGTTTGATTGTTTGTTTTTAAAAAGCTAAAGTGGATAGAGAGAAATACTGTTAACTGATGGCACATGAAGGGGATTATAATCATTGTAATGAAACAAGGTGTATGATTTGTTGAATGTAAAACTGATATGCCCTGTAAACTTTCACAATAAAAAACTTAAAAAAAAAAAAAAAGTGCATCATCAAATAATATATATTATATGATCTCAGTGTAAAACAGTCTTACATAATTTTAAACAATCTGATATTTTCAACATTATTTGGAAACCATTAAACTGTTAACAGTGTTTGCCTTTAGGGAAAGCATAGGATTAAGAGTATATGTATATGTAAAGGGAGACTTACTTTTTTTTTCATCCTAATGTAATGTTTAAGGTGCTATGGTAGTGTAGTGGTTATGAGACAGGCTGCTAACTTCAAAGTCAGCAGTTCGAAACTACCAAATATACCAGCAGGAGAAGGATGAGATTTTTCTGCTTTCATAAAGATTAACAGCTTCAGAAACCCTAAGCAGGGTTGCTATAGGTCAGAACTGATTCCACAACACATAATCACCACCATCAACCACCTATATAATGTCTACAATTTTTTTTACAATAAGTATAGATTTTATATAACTTTTATAACTTCAAAATCCTATTTTAAAAGATAATACAATATTTTTTGGGCTACTCTAGAATTTAGCACCAAAACATTCTGGAATCCAGCACATAAATCTCTTAAACTTTTCTCTATTAAATTTTGGTTTGTATTTCTTTTTAATGTAAATCTCTAATTTTGCATAGTTTCTATGATATGTAGCTTCCTCAGGGGAGAGCTAAGAGTCTGAGAAGCTGGACTGAAAGAAGTTTCAGTATCAGAGAGGTGGTCCTCCCACAGCTTAAATGTTAGCCGTAGAAATAGCCTCGGAGGCATCAAAGGGCACTTGTGGCAAAGGAAGGCCCTACAGTTCATGTCAGACTTCCCCAGGCCATTCTAACCCAAGATTGTAAAAAAGTTGTCCACAGCCAGAGGAAAGAAAATGAATGGCAGTAAGATTTGTGCCCCAAGGTCAGAAAGAGGATGGGGAAATGAGAGGAAGGAGACCAGATTACACAATGAACCATCAATGACCAATTTAAATACTTCTTTCTTTTCTGTTCATTGTTGCTCTCTCAAAACTTCCCTCTCTCGATTTAGCACCTCACAAAAGTTGTATAGATTCCCAGTACTCACCCGGCTCCATCTCTCTCCTTCCTGTCAGCATCGAGATTCTAGACCTAATTGCCTCCTGAGCTTTTACAGTCATCCTACTAGAACCTTCCATCCTTGAGTTGGGTGGGGCTGCCACTTCCTTCTCCTAGGACTCCTCCTTAAGTTTCCCGTTGTTCCGGGTACATCTTAGCTTAAGGAAAGGAAGCTCCTGACTAAAGCCTTTAAAAAATTGCTGAGGGATTTGTTTCTGTGGCCTCCTTTTTAAGTTGAGAAGACTACTGAGTGACTTGAAAGGTGAACCTTGGTTTGGATCGGCCCTTTTGTACTATTGTCACTTCAAGGCTTGGGACCCAATTCAATCTAAGCCAACTCAACCTGGTGTCAGGCATCGCCCGGCAGTGTCAATGCTGGGATGGGGATGAGTAAGAAACATAGCTGCCCTCAGGAAGGGCAGAGACAAAGAATCATGAAAATGGGTTTGTGCAACCCATTAGGTCCTGGAAGTCTTAGAATTGAGAAGAAAAGTAAGGCACATTGAAATGATGGATTCTTATATTGTTGATTAAAATGCAGCTGAAGGAGTTTCCAATGACAAGGGAAAATGCCTATTACTTAATGATAACTAGGGAAGCAAAACAGGACACACAAACAGTGCAACTTAACAGTATAACAAAACTGGCATGTACACAAATAAACTTCTAAATGATACAAGAAAATAAAACAAACTGTGGTTCTCTAAAAGTAGTAAGATTGTAAGCGTGGTCATTTCCTTTTCTTATATTTTTTTCATTCCCAAAACAAAATAAAAATGGTTTGCACAATGGGAGTGTAAAATATTTCTAACCAATGGAGAAAAAAAAGGAGTTGCAGGATCATGGCTAGAGATCTGAACATGGGTTTACCAGATGATTACCAGCAGAAGTAGAGGTGTCCAGCCAGCACTCCTGGAAAAGGAATTTACTTTGGTAAAAGAATAGTGCTGCAGAGAAAACATGAAGCTATTTACACATTACTGATCATTGTCAAAGGTATGTAAGAAGTGCCTAATTCCCTGGGTTAATCTGAGTGATTCATTGCAAATTCCCTCACCTATTGAAACCAAATCTTTCTGTCACATCCCTGCCTTTTTTAATGGGTTGAGCTTATTTGGGAAATGGTCATAGTTATTAAACTTGCTTATTGGTGGTGGTGGTGTGCGGTGGAGTCAATTCTGACTCATAGTGACCCCTTTTATAGGGTTTCTGAGACTGTCAATCTTAATGGGAGCAGAAAGCCTCATCTTTCTCCCGTGGAATGGCTGGTAGTTTTGAACTGCTGACCTGAGGTTAGCAGCCCAACTCGTAACCACTACTTTATTGATCACCCTGGGTTGTTTTTTATTTTTTTAAAAGTAAAAGTTACTATACTTTTAATTGGGGAAAAAACAACAACCCATAAACACTTTTGTCAGTAATGCAAGAATCTCTTGTAGTGGATATATATACTTTGTTTGAAGAAGGCAATTTTTATCTTCTTGAGGAAGGCAATTTTAATTAAAGTAGCAATTCATATTAAAGATATTTTGGTGTACATTCTTGTTAATTTCCTTCCTGTTATTTTGTCTTGAGTTTTCCTTAGTTGTGATCATATGAATAGTGCATCTTGAAGACAGAACTTTTTTAGAAAAATGAGAATTGTCATATAATTTAAATACTGCTTAAAAACATGTCTTTAATGATAAAATGACTTATGTCTTATGAAAACAAGCTTTCACATCTCAAATATTGTTTATTTATTTATATCAGTCCTCCAGTTTTGATATTGAGGCTTATATGGGAAGAAGGAGCCCTACTAGGGCACTAGCTAAATTCTTGGCTGCTAGCTAAATGGTTGGCAATTCCAACCCATCAGCTGCTCTGCAGGAGTAAAACATTGCAGTCTTCTAGCTCCCCAAAAGATGAGAGCCCCATGAGTCAGAATCAATGCAGTGACACACAGTAACAACAACAGATGGAACAGAGGTTTCGCCATGCCAAAAACCAAATAAGCATAATGTTAGTTTTCAGGTTTACTGGAGAAATTCTTTCTGGTCTGTTGTATGGGCCCCATTATAAGATTGAGTATTCAAAATTTCAAATCTACTTTCATGCCTACCTACCTTCCTTCCTTCCTTTATTCTTCAAGTATTGAACACAGCTGTACTGTTGAAGGCACCATATTAGACATTTTAAGGAACACAAAGCCAACAGTTGATCTTTAGCCTCAATGAACTTAGAATTGGTGAAGATTTAAAAACACATGCACACACAAATCTCCTCTACTAAGGCATGTGCCTTGAATGGAAGGCTCAGAATGATGGAGCATGTACCATTAATGAAGGATGAAGAGGCTCTGGAGAGAGATGGCATGACAATGACTTTCCACATAACGCACAGCACAAGCAAGTAGACCTACTTCTGAAACTAGGAATTGGTTTGCCTACAGCAATCAAAACTCACTTTATATAAAACAATTGTTTGCAATGGAGGGGAAAAAAGCCAAACTCTTGAGAGTTTCAGACTTGCAAAAGCAAGACTCTTTTGCCTCTAGTGCTTTAGAGATTAAGAGTTTTATAGCTGAAAGAGATTAGCTTTAAAACCTAAGCATCATTGATCAAACTGAGCTTTTACTTATCCCCACTGTTTTTCTGTACCTAGTGTTTTTTGGTGTGGGTCTGTAGGATAAGCATGGACTGCTATCTGCAAGGTCAGAGCCTCAAACCCACCAGTCTTTCCTCGGAAACCTCATACATGGTCACTATGAGTCAGAACCAACTTGACGGTACTTACCCACAACAATCTAACATTAGATTCTTACACGTTATTGTCACTCTTACCTGACACTGTAGCTGAGCAACTATGAGGGTGAATAAAAATTATCCTCACTCCAGTTATATATTTAAACTTCTGTTGACTGCAGCCTTCCATTGAAGGTCACTGCTCTGTAGGTGTGAACATGGACATCTGAAAACAAAATTTGGACTGATACTCAAAGGAAGGTAAAAGTGTCTTTTAAAAAACCATTACTGGTGATGAGACATGAATTCATCACTATGAGCCTGAGAGTAAACAGCAAAGTATGGAATGGAAACATCCTCAATTACTGACCAAGAAAAAAATCCAAAAGTCAACTGTTAGCTGGAAAATTGATGCTTATGGCTCTCTGGGATTCTCAAGGGCCAACACTGAAACACTATCAGGAAAAACAAGCAGCAATAAACAGTGTTTGTTACAGTGAGATGCTCACTGAAGAGCTGAAGCCTAAACTTCGGATTAAGTGCAAGGGCTGCTACCCAAGGACTTTGTGATCTTGCGTGGCAATGCATGTCCCCACACCACTGCCCATACTTTTGCCACTCTGCAAAAACTTCCTTTCGAGGTGTTAAAGCATCCTCCCTATAATCCTAATCTTGCTCCATCAGACTCTCACCTGTTCGGTCCCTTGAAAGCAGCCCTTCAGACAAAGATTCACCTCTGGTGAAGAAGTGAAGACAGTGGTATATTCGTGATTTGCAGCTCTGCATAAAGCATTTTTAAATAAGGGAATACAAAGGCTTGTTGACAGATGGCCAAAGTGTAATGAAAAGCAAAGAGATTATGTCAAAAAATGATGTATTTGTCTTTTCTAAAAGTTGATTAAAATAAATTATACAGCCAGAATATAGATAATTTTAACTCACCCTCATATATTGGCAGCTAATTAAGTTACAATCAATTGTAACTTAATAAATATGATCAATATCCATCATGATATTATAAATCATTTTACTTAATTTATCATAGTATATTCAATTTTAAAAAATTTCCTTACAAGATTGTTGTTGTTAAGTGCCTTCGAGTGAGGTCCAACTCATAGCAACCTTACATAGGGTTTCTGAGAAGTAGTTGGTGAGTTTGAACCACTGACCCTACAGTTCAAACTGACCTTTCAGTCCAGTGCATTATCCTACAGCACCATGGCCATATCATCATTTTAAATTTAGTTCCCCGAACAAAAATACTTTATACCATATCTACTGTATGTGTACTGCTATAGACCAAGTTCTGTTAGGGTTAATCCACTAGATTTGTCCTTCAACACGACAACATGCTCTCTGGGGATCTTTAACTCTAAAATAAATACAGACACACTATAATCCTCTCCTGGGCCCCACACCCTTATATGTGACTACTGGTTTCTCCACTTGAAAATCCTGCAGTCACTTCAAACTCAACATGTTCAAAATTGAACTCATTAACTCCACCCAACCCCCAAATTCATATTATTTCTTACTCATCCTTGTAAACATTATAAAACTTCATTGGTTTTTAAAGCCTACTATTTGAAGGCTGGGTAGTCACATGGACAAAATACAGATTTCTAAGTTAGAGATACTAGTTAGGGACCTTACTCTGCCCTGAGTTTTAGTACCTATTTGACCTTAGACAAGTAAGCCCCTCTCTTCTCATATGGTCAAATGAAACCAATCACAATACCTATTTTATGCTTTGCTTTAAGAATCAAATAGCTGTTTGGTGGTGGTGGTTGTATGCTGTTGAGTTGACTTTGACTCATAGTGACTCTGTATAGGGTTGGATCTGAAATGCTGACCTTGAGGTTAACAGCCTAATGAGTAACCCAATATGCCCCTAGGACTTCTTTTGTGAAAGAACATGTAAGCCTTAAAGTGCTATACAAATGTTAAGCCACTTTCATTAGTAACTTTGATCACACTTGATCATTTTCAAAGGTAATCTTTATAATCCTTCAGAGCATGAGATTCATGTTGAGTGAAAGACCATGTGTCAAGACTTGCACTAAGAAGCTGCGCAGATCTTGGAGAATGTATCATTGTCCAGAGACCAGCCTCAGTTTTACTTAGTTTTGTTAGTGTGCAGGGACTTGAAGACATCATTATCACAGCCCTGGCTTCAAACTCACCACAAGGCTGCATTGTTCCAAAGTACAAAATCTTAACATTGTCCATGGTTCTGTCACTTAATTTGACCCTAACCACATCTCCAGCCACATCTTCCACAACTCTCTCCCTCCCTTCCTCATCTAGTTGGTTTGCCCAGTTCCCAAATCCAACTCTTC